CCCCACAGGCTTGCTTTATATTCGCTTTGGTTTGGTCTGTTGGGGGGAGTTGTGATACAGATGGCCGCATGGTCTTTGATGCTTTCATCAGAGAAGTGTTGGTGGGAAAAAATGAAGACTATCCAGTGCCGCAATCTGTGGGTAAATGGGAATGCCTCTTTGATGAAAAAGGCCTGGTCTATGACTACACGTACGAGGTATGAATGGAAGTTCCTGGTAAGATACAGTAAAATAAAGACTTACAACAGCAGACAAAATCCTGGGCTCCCATCCCAGAATGATTTTGACCTGTCTGGTGAGCTTTATGGTGCCTCCTTTTTAAACTTCCAGGAAGCATATCTAAGAATCTCTATATGGTTTCATGGATATGACTTCTTAAGTATAGTTTATAATTTAAGATTTAAGTGGAATATTTTCTTCAGTTTATGAAACACTTCACAAAATGATTCTTTTAAATTGCAAACATGGAGATAATTTGATTCATGCAAATTTTACCTCAGAACCATAACATCTAGATAGAATTTTAGTCCTGGTTTTGTCTAAATCTCAAGGAGTGTAGCTGGAGAAAGAAACCTGGAAAGGTGAGTGAGCTAGAGCTTGAGCCCAGCTCTTGCGATTGCCAGTGCTAGCTGAGAATTTAAGAATATGACATGGAAGAGAGTTTAGCCTTCCCTAGTCAGAGTTGGAAGTCAGTATTCTCAAAAACCAAAAAAAAACCCACCAGAGTTTGGAATGCATGTATGTTTTTTAAGTTTTGGAGGTAAATTCCAAAAACTTCGGCTTAGAGGGTGGTCAAGGAGGAAGGGGAAATGGAAGTGGGGAGCTACTATTTTTATTAACTGTATACAATGTTTGGCTCCCAAATATATAGAAATTTTATAAAAATAGAAGCTAGGAGTTAAAGAAAAATCAATAGCTAAAGATATATTCACCGAAACTTAGAAAATTGCCACCACCTATATACTATTCACATATATAATTTTCCACAATATAAGAAAAGATTCTTAGATGGCAGCCATAGTATTGGAATAGGGTCCTAGAGACCCCATGCTATGTCAGATATTAGCCCTCTGGCTTGACAGTGGGTGGCAGCATGGACGTCTAAGGAAGGGCCTAACCATGCTGGGAGGGGGACCTAGGTTGGGAAGAGGGAAAAGGAGGGATTCAATGTTGTCAGCAGTTATTTCATCCCTGGGTCAGAAGAATTTCAATATTGTAATAACCAGTACAGTCATCCCCGTGTGTCTTAGCTGGGTATCAACCTGGATCAAAATACCAAAGAGAATTATTTAAGAGAACAAATACAGTGAGTTCATGTGATATTTTATTTTTAGTTGGAATTTTGCCTATTTTTAAATCTGAAAAATGTGATGGCAAAAACCATCAAATTATAACTCAATCTACATCAGAGTGGCTTTCAAATAAATATCTGCTATATGCGAAAGGACATCTGGAAGGCACTTTGGGAGGTTTACTGTTAAGAAGTTTTAACAGTTGTATGTATTGACTTTGAGATAACTAATTTTGGTTTTAAGTTCTTCAGGTTATTGGTAAAAAATAAAAGTTAATCTCTAGAAAAATGTGCATTTCTTAAACTGGATGGTTGATTCATGAGTGCCTATTTTGTCTGCTTTGTGTCTTTAAAATGTTATACATTCTGCATGTCTGTCTAGATAAGATAGGCAGGATAAATAATTCGGAGATTAAAAGAATGGGACCAATGGTTCTGGGGGGGATACAGAAGAAGGGGAGGGGGGACCAGCCCAGGGACAAGGGAACAACGAGTGAACTAAAATCAATGGAAGGAAGGTCATAGAATGCCTAGTCCAGCTCAATCAAGGGCAATGTAGCAGCGAGGAGTTACTAAACCCGAAGGAAGGCCAAACATGATGGTGGGACAAGAGGGAAGTAAAAAGGAAATAGAGGAAATAACTAGGAGACAAAGGACATTTATAGAGGCCTAAATATAGGCATGTACATATGTAAATATATATAATGAGAGGGGAATAGAGCTATGTACTCATATCTATATGCTAAGAATTAAGGTTGCAGATGGACATTGGGTTTCAACTCAAGTACTTCCTTAAATACAAGAACACTTTGTTCTAACAATCCGGCATTCTGTGATGCTCACCTTCCTGACACGTTCACTGAAGACAAAGCAGGTGCATAAGCAAATGTGGTGAAGAAAACTGATGGTGCCCAGCTATCAAAAGATATAGCATCTGGGGTCTTAAAGGCTTGAAGATAAACAAGCGGCCGTCTAGCTCAGA